ATTATCCCTACTAACACTTGATTCTAAATTAACAATTCTGTTCATAAAGTTCCAAATAACTGGGCCTCTATATTGAATTGTCCCTTTTCCAACTTCATGTTTTACTCTTGGGATTTCAACTTGGTTTCCCCTACGGGAAGATCTTGCTTCTGTCTTTACTTTGAAGAGGGACTTCATAGAGTATGGAATTTTATCTTGAAGAACGTCATGCATCAAAAGAAGAAGGCGTCTTTTGTAGATGTAAGAGATTGGTAAACCAGAATATTTTTTGAAGGTTTTCGTGGTGATGAATGATTCGTGCTGCTCTTGCATGAATGGGATCTAAGGTTTCCATAACTGCAGAACTGCAATTACCCCACGCCACTATACCATAGGTTACTGCTGGAATAATGGTTTTAAAATAGATCTCTTCTAATACTTTTACAGGAAGCTTCTTCATTCTTCTCAATGCCCCAACCTTCTGTGTGAAAGAGTTCTTCACATGGTCTACATGCATTGACCATGTCAGTCTATTATCAATCACTAAGCCCAAACAAGTAGTATGATCCACAACATTGATAAATTTATTTCCAAAATAAATTGGTGGAGCTGGGCCAGTGAATTGTGTTTTGCTGAGAATCATGACTTCAGATTTGATAGGATGGATACTAAGTCTGTTATTTATACTCCAGAGTTGCAATTGCTCGAGTATTTTGTTTAATTGCAAACAGACTTGGTCAAAGGTCTTCCCCACGCAGTATATAGTAGTATCATCTGCATACATATAGACATTCCCAAGTGTAATAGCATCAGGTAGGTCATTGACGTAGATTGTATATGATCTTGGACCAAGGAGTGATCCGTGGGGAATTCCGTATTGGACTGTTTACAAATCAGAGGTACAGCCATTTATAACTGTACAGTGATATCTGCCTTTCAAATAATGCATCAGCCATTCATGAATATTACCAGTTAATCCAACAGCCTAAAGCTTGAGTGATAAAAAATTATGTGAAATACTATCGAAAGCCTTTCTAAAATCCACGAATATGGCTCCTACTAACATTCCTTTATCCAAATCCATTTTCCATCTATCTGTCATCGTTAACAACATACCTTCTGCAATAAGCCTCTTGTAAAGCCCCACTGTGATGGACTTTTCAGAGAGAACTTATTCAAGAACTCATCAATTATATAGCAAACCTGATGTTCTAGTTATTTACTTGGGATACTCAATGAGGAAATAGGTCTATAATTAGCAATGTCTGTTCTAGTTCCTTTCATAAAGATGGGAGTAGCTTTTGCTCACTTCCATGTGTAAGGGACAGTTCTTGTTTCAAAACTACTTATAAAGACACTCACCAAGCCATTGATAATTCCAGAACCAGATAATGAGATTATAGCAATTGATATCCCATCGATATTAGCCTTGATTTTCTTTTAAGAAAAGTCTTAATAAACATATAATAACATTGCCAATCTCCAGTTCCAATAAGGAGCAGGTGGGTGCTGTAACTGCTGTAAACCTAAACGTTTAGCAAGTACAACTACACTATGCTTAAAATATTCCCCATTCAATATGTTTTTAAACAAAAACTAAAACAACAACATTAAAAGTAGAAAAAATCAAAAGGATCAAAAATGTGTTTTTAATTCGATCATTATGTGACATTAAGCTATCCGCCATATTGTTTTTTTATACTTTACTACCGATAGAAGAGTAAGTCATACATAAAGGCCGTCCACCTCCGCATAACTATTTACAAGATTTTTCTTTCTTTCTTTTCTTTTTCTTTTACATAATTTTTCTCTACGTGATTTTATTATTATTCAAGGACTAGGACTTAAAACCGTAGGCCCGCCTGTTTTCACTATATAACCCTGTATAAGGCGGACGTAAAAGATCTACTGAAGACCCTGGTGACGAACATCTTCGGTGCCCGTGCTAGACTCTATAGGGCCCACTCTAATTGGCATAAAAGCTGTTGTGGTCTTTCTGCCTCATGGCAAGCTCATAAATAAATTTATAAATCAATCAATCCCTAACATGACCGCGCGCCTAGAGTACTGGAGGAAACCACCATTTTGTTTTGGGTTGGATTTGAATATGTATTCTCTTGAAATGCAGTGCGAAATATTGGTAAGATAAGAAGTTGTAGCTGCACATTTGAAGTCTATAGTAGYGTTCCAAGTTATGTACAAGAAAAATTATACTTGAAAAGCTTATTTTAAGTGTGTTTATCCGTGTTTTTTTTTTTGCAATTCGTATAGCCAACAAAGAACACTTGATAATATGCTCAAATTGCTATTTAGTAGTAACGTGTATGTACGTATAATAATGTTTTAAATAACAATAATCATCATTTACTGAGAAATGTGCTTATATTTACGTTCTATTCTATGTGTTATGTACTTGATTTTACCGATCCACATGCCATCTTGTTTTTTCCTGCTTCTCGAGGCACGCAAAGGTCTATTTGCATATTGGCATTGATTCTTTTTCAGCAAACGGAATTCGCAATCTGATCATATCAAACTTTCCACATAGAGAAGTTGTCGTTCCGCTCGAGCCGTTTCTTTTACCATTTAAGGAATGTACTTACCATATTTGGGAATTTGAATCTAATTTTCTTCACTAAATAGGCGAATTTCTTGCTCAAAACTGCTCAAATTTACAGTAAATCGAGTGAAAATATCCCAACTAGTCAGCCATCTTGGTTTTGGCCGAAAAAGGGCTGGAAATGAGTTGACGCTCGGTTGGAGCCCGACATTTGGTCCGCAAAAAACCGCCATATTGGTTTATGTTATACGACAAGTTCGAGTTTTAAACGATATTTTAGCATTAACAGGCGAACAAAAATGGTAAAGAAAGATCAATTTTTTTGTTGACAATCCAGTTTATGTTAATTGATTCGTTATTGAAGTATTCAGTTAATAATTTGCTGATCAAAAGGCCTCCCTTGACTAAAAAACTTGGAGCACTATCAGTTCCCTCACGATCTATTTCATTGCTATCCATATTGAACTGATTTGCTTTACGAGTGAGAAAGGAAAAAAAAKATCTTAAACACAACATAAAGTAAAGAAACATGGTAAAAAGGAACCATTTTTTATTATTCTTGCAAGCCAGTTTATGGCAATTTAGAATTAAGTTTACTTCGTAAAGAGCTGAGCAAAATAACTCGCATGACGTAGATTGTAGCTCACATAGTTTACTTTATTCTACAGGAACCAAGTAACAGAAATGCTCGCATCGATAGACATTCGAATGGAAGCGAACTCTTTGAACAGGTAAAAATCAGAAATTACGAAGAAGCTCAGTATAGTAGCACTCTTCCTCTATTTCCTAGCTCACGTTTGTTGGGATTAACATCGCTCGTCTTTGAATATACTTTAAATCATTTTATAGTATAATCTAGTTCATTCTATATTTTTGTTTTTTTAGCTACTTTTAGATAAATATATATATATGTTTTTAGTTTAGGGGTTTTTATCTTGTAATTATAATATTATAGTTTTTTATTCACATATCTTCATAGTTTATATATTAGAGGGCCACAGATTTGTTAGCATATTGCTATTTAGTGCTACTCTCAGTAAATAAAGAGTTTATTATTATTATTATTATTATTATTAATTTAGAGACTGAATGCGAAAATGTTATAAAAATGTTATAAAAATGTAAAAGTGTTAAATAATATCACGAGTCAGAGCTAAAAATATTTTAGAATAAAATTAAAGGCGAAAAAAGCTTCAATTTGGGGAACGTATAAAATTGGCATTGTTCTTATTAATAAGACTTCGAATACTATCCCGGATTTTTTCGATTCGAAAGTCAGTTCTTATAATTCTACTTTTTATGGAGGAGTATCAGTAACTCTAAAAGACGGAATCAATGAATAATTGGACCGGCAGAAAAAAGGAGTGATACAGAAACAAAATTACACTAAATCTTGGACCAACAGTATGGTAGCCGTATTGAAACGAAAAAATACGAGTCCCTCTAGAGCCATATGTTTAATGCTCCCTTTCGGGGGTAAACATGTCGCACATGATTTAAGGTCTACCAGGCACTGCAAAAATAATTGATGACATTCTGGTGTGGGGTAGAACGATAAAGGATATGATGCAAGGATGAGAAAGTTTTAGATAGAGTCAGACAGCAAAACCTCAAGCTCAACAAAAAGAAATGTCAGATCAGRAAAAAGGAAATTCCTTATATAGGCCACTTATTAACAATCGAGAGTCTAGAACCAGATCCAGTGAATGCCAAACCCATGCAAGAGATGTCTGCACCTAACAACATCAAATAACATCCTTCAATTCTAGAACATTTCTGGGTCTAGTAGTTCAATGCCTAGGAACGTTTCTACGAAAATTAGCAAAAGAATGCTCCTCTAAGGCAGTTGTTAGAGAAACAGCTACAGTGGCATTGGGACGAGCCACAGCAATCACGCTTCAACAAGCTCAAACAGTTGATAGCAACAACAACAGCAGCACTGGGATATCACAATCCAAACAAGCAGTTTATACTATCTACCTGCAGATGTTAGTAAAAGAAGGTAAGGAGTAGCATTGTTACAAGAGGATAAGTCAATACCACAGCACAAAGGAACTATGCCCAAACAGAAAAAAAAGAACTTCTTGTTATAGAGTATGGGTGCCACAAGCTCCATTTTAAGCAAGAATTTACATCAAGCACCTTTGCGAGCCTACAGAAGATGACGATTA